TCTTTTTACCAGAATCAAGTTTTGCCCTTCATTGCAGGTGAGAGTTGCTATGTTCCTTAGTATTTCACCACCTGAGCCGTGAAGTCATGGTATGGGTTAAGTTCATCCTTCTTATCACTAATTGTGTGACCATGGGGTGGCTCACTAAGCCCAGTGACACTCTTCTCCTCACAACTGAAAGCAGGGCAGCTACTGCAGATGCTGGAGTGACTCAGAGTCCTGAGGACTTATAGCTCGCCTCATCTCCAGAAAGCCCACCACAGGATTATAATGGTATTGCTACCGTGTATTCTATTCTTAGTAGTTAGGGGACATAATTGCTTCTTTCATTGGCTTTGGTCTATTTTAATACGGATTTTGTTCATTTGAGTTCCTGCATAAAATGATAGTGTAAGCATGTTCAAAGTATAACAATCTGAGTAACAAAACTCAGTGAAGTGTCACCAAATACTAAATACATGGCTTGTCTCTGTCAGAGAGAGATCTGGGAAGAGAGACAATGTAGAAAAGCTTTACTTGTGCCATAGTATTATTTGTTTCATGGTATTGCATATTATGGATCTTTTACGTAATGAAAAGTAAGTTTCTGTTCGGCACAAGACCACCATGCACGTACACTAGAACGCTAACTGCCCCGAGAGTCCAGAGTCTGGTCTGTTTGTCACACAGGCCTGAGTGCATCAAGCCACAAAATCTCCTTGTACTGCTGACCCATGACCCACATATCAATTAACTGAATTATGTGTTAAGAAAATGGCCCTCAAACTGTGAGGTTTCTGCTCACATAAAATAATCTCAATCTTTATTTAATTTTAAAAGTGGACAATTTTGATAACCCCTGCTAAAACATGTAACGGAGAATTCGCGTCTCAGAGGCTCATTGTCTTGTCCTAAATCACTCAGGGCACCGAAGCGGTGTTGGGGAAACGAGCTTACGAGCCCCCTGTCCCCTCCTCAGGACGGTGCTTGCAGTCGACATGAACACGATTCTGGACACGACCGTGTTTCTGGGGAAGTTCCTGTACTATGGGCTGGAGTTCTTGGTCACCAGCATAGTCCCGAAGAGTAAAAAGGACGTCGCTGGAGAAACCGTGCTGATCACCGGGGCCGGGAGCGGGCTCGGCAGGCTGCTGGCCGTGCGCTTCGCTGGGCTCGGGGCCACGGTGGTTCTCTGGGACATCAACCAGGAGGCCAACCTGGAGACGCGCCGGCTGGCCCAGGAGAAGGGCGGCGCGAGAGTCTTCGCCTACAAGTGCGACTGCAGCAGCAGGCAGGAGGTCTACAGGGTCGCCGACCAGGTAAGCTGCCGCCTGCGCCACTGCCGCCTGCGAAGACGCCCCGCGCTGCTACCAACACAGCCCGAGAGGCGGCGAGCAGGAGCCTCTGAGGGCCTGGCGGGGCTTTTGTCTGGGTGGCTTCGCTTTTTGTGGTGCCAGGCTTGGACTGAGGACCCCGCGCTTGCCAGGCAGGCACTAAGCTGCTGACCTGTGTCCCTGCCCCTCCCCCAGGTCGCTAGGCACCTCTATGACCTCCAGAAAATAACAGAGCTAGTGGAAACGATCAGCCTCAGAGCCCGGTGCTGCCAGACTTCTGGGCCTGGTGACTCATCGCTGCTGAGCAGGAGCTGGCAAGAGCTAGGCGTGCTCCTGGCTGTGCCGCCCTCCGGCTGCGAGGCTCGCCGAGTCCTCTTCCTCTCTCCAGCCCCTTCTCTTTATCTGTAGAGCGCAAGGTTTGAACCAGATGACTTCCAAGATCTCAACTATTTTAACTTAGCTTTTATGGTTCACAATTCTAATACCAGTTAAATGCCATTTGAACCTGTGGTAATTTCACCATCATTGTGTTCTGAGAACATAAGGTAGGGCACACAGAGAGGTGTATTTTCATACTTTCAGACCAAATTTCCTCTTAAAATTAAAATATGAACATTTGTTCTAACTTCATAGTAACTGGCAAACATTCATTGTTTGGTTATCTTGGACCCTAACCTTGTATCCTAGTGTATACCTAACTAGAGTAACCTTGGCTACTGTGTACCTGTTGACCCAACAATGGGCACTTTGGGAGCTTTTTAACCATGAGGTAAGGTGTGATGAGGCCAGCAGATGCAGATCAAAAGAGAGAAATGAGCACATTTAACCACTTAGTTTATTCACAAGCCTCTAGAGAAGGCATAGGGCATCATACAGGGCCACTAAGGGGGCTCTCTGTAAAGCAGAGATGGGGGAATTGTTGGCAAATGCCTTTATTAGACTTTCCACAGGAAGGAAGAGGTGATGCAGAACGAACTGTCATAGGATTGGCCAACTGGAATCATGCTGGGGGCTCCCGGGCGGAAGGGCTTTCCCTGGACTGCTGGTAGTTGAATCGGGGTGGTCGGCGGGTATGGAGTAGCCCAGAGTACGGGAACACAGGAAGGGGAAGTGGTTGGGAATGTGAGCATAATCACTTGCTCAGAAAGAGAAATGACCACCCTCCCGCCAGGGCCACAAGACTAGACCAAGACAACAGCAAAAACAAAAGCTACAGTAACTCCACCACAGAAAGCTATATTCTAAGCTATTTATGTGAAAATCTGCTCCTTTAATCAATGCCACAACCTCACAGGTGTTTATCATTATTACCCTCATTTTTAAAAGGATGAAATTGTGCAGCAGAGTACACATGGACTTGCCCAAAATCAAAAATTTAGTGAGAGAGCCAAGATGCCAAGATCTTTTTCTCAGCCAACCTGGAACCAAACTGTTTAGAAAGTTTGGTAACAAGTCCCACAGAATTTTCCTTCCCTTTTCGATCTAAGCTCCAGACATGAAATTCATTTATTGAGTCATTCAAAGCCTAATGGCCAAACCGCTGCTCTGTGGCCCGGACCCACTGAGCCACTCTTCACCCCTCCCTTTCTCTTTCGGTGACATTCTCCTTTGCTTTGGGACCCCGTAGGATCTGTCCTTCATGCCTGTAACCCGCTAAGGAGGTGTACTGCTCCCCAGGTGTATTTTAGTTCAAAGTCAATAGAATCAAAATTAATCTCCACTTGGTCAAGGAGAAAACAATACGGTAGGCCAAGTTCCCAGGTGAGTATCTTCAGGCTGAGTTTGTGGGCCCAGCCTGTCCACAGGCGCTTTGGCCCAGCGCTCCGTGCTTCCTGAGAGGGCGTGGCGGGAGGCTTTCCTCCTGGGCCGTAGTCATGGACAGTCTTCACACGCAGCACACACTACCATGCCCTCCATTGTATTAATGACAGAACACAGGTAGTAAGGGTCTGAGGAGCAGGCACAGAACAGGGCAGTGAGGGAGCTGAAGTCCCCAGTTCTCCGCACGTCCCTGCCGCGCTGCGGCTCACAGGCACTGAGAGGAGCCTCTCAGAGTCTCCCAAGCTCGGAAGCATTAGGGCCCTAATTTTCCTACTCATCCTGCCTCCTACAAATGTTTCTATCTTAGTTGAAATTTTCTCAATCTCTAATAGAAAACGGCACTAAAAACCTTACTCAGAGATCACTTTTGAGCCGGCACACTTGTAGTCCCAATATTACGGCAGCCTAAGACAAGAGGACCCCAAACTGATTTAAGTCAACTTAGTAACTTAGTGGAACCTTACTTAAAAATAAAAAGAGGGTTGAGGATGTAGCTTGGTAGGAAGCCTGAGGATTAATCTCAGTATCACAAAAAATCATTTTCATCATTGAACTGTATCTGAAACTTCTTCTTGTCCATGTCCTATAAATAAAATGTTTCCAAGTCAACCACTCTTATTTAATTTCAATCACTCATCAGCTCCCAAGAAAACCAAATACTAGCAGTAACCTTCAGTCATAAAGATTTCAACAAACTACAGGCATTACCCAAATCCTTGAATTCTATAGGAAACTTGAAGAATAATGACAAGATTCTGATGGGGTATAAGAATTAACTTTACAAAATTAAATTGAAACAGCATCCTTATCTCCAGTGGACAAAGACAATATAAAATTAAATGTTACTATTAAAAGCAGCCAGCCTCATAGTTCATTTCCAAATATCTAGGTCTAACCAACCATTCCTATTGATGAGATTTGTTTGCTACTCATAATTTTATCATGGAAGAATGGAAAATTTGGGTGAGAACTGCTTTCATACAAGAATCCAAGTTAGATATGAATTGCTGTCATTCCTCACAAAATCAGAGTCTCGGCAAGATCTGAATTTCTCAGAGGCTCTTTCTTTCCTCACTTGTAAGCTACGCTAATAATGCATTTGTAAACTGCCTCTCAGAAAGCAATGCAAATGACAGCCCCTGACCTAGACGAAATTCTCCTGGCCCAGGTGTCCCTGAGACCACAAGCTCCTGGAATTGGGTAACAGTGAGTGCTGTGTGTTTCTTAAGTATGTCGCAGCACTGGATGCCAAAGCACCCAGGTCCTCCCCTCCTCCTCAGCCTGCTGCCCGGCCACTGGTGCAGGACCAGAGCGGAGC